AAAATCTTGCTCATCGCTGATTTCTTGCTTTATATCCTCCTCAACCGTAACCTCTGATTTTAGAAATTGCTGTGGACAAATTTCTTCAATTTCATAATCATCTAATTCTTGTTTCACCTGAGGATATTCGATCGGCTCAATTTTAATTTCTGTGCTTGAATTTGTTTCTTCAGACATTTTTGACGTTTGAAGGTTATTGTAAAGATGTCTGCTTTAAAAGTAAAGAATTCTTTTGATCTATGCGTTATGAATATGTGATAAATATATTTTGATATTTAATAATTCGTTTTTGTTTTAATATGTCATAATACTCACACTGACTTTTTTGTTATTATTTTATATTTTCACTTGCTTTATTTACGCACTTTGACAATTTGACAGTTCTACTACTTCGTTCTGATTGGTCAACACCAGAAACAACTTCAACTTCGAATTTAACGGCGGCAAATTTAAAATTATGGAAAAAGATAGATTTTGGTCTTATTTAAATTTAAATTTTTCTTTTATGTATTCTAGTGTACAAATTCAAAAGAACATGTGTACGAGAAGATTTTTCTCAGTTTAAATTATTTTAGTAGGTACAGTTCTTTGATCATGATAATTCTCTCCGGTTTTATTCCTTTTGCGAAATTTTAAACGCGTTTTACTCAAAACTAGTTCTTTCAATACGATGTACACCATTTCTCGGGTTCTACTGGACCGATTCAACTGAAATTTTCTGAGAATCTACTTTATAAACATCTCCCAATCTAGATCTAGCATATACCAGCATCATCCCCAAATTTTAATCTTTACTATTTTTGAAAACCGAGAAACTCAACAAAGTAGTAAGAAAAATTGTTCTTATTTTTAAACAGTCGTCATTTCATCAAAATTCTTTTTATGATTGATAATCCTTTTTTTAACTTCGCGCAGGGTAAGTTATTGTAATCGAAATTGAAAATTTTTACATTTCTCGACGTTTTGAAGGTTTCTGAACGTTTTGGCATATCTTAGAAAAAATGGATGTGTTTGTGTGTGTATGTATGTATGGATACAATTTTTCGTCCACGTTTTCGGGCGCACGGATCAACCGATTTGAATGGTTCAAAAAACATTCGATTCCTATTGATAGGGAGATGTGCTGCTTAGTTTTTGGCAAAGGCAGGTCCAGCCGTTTCGGAGATATGGAGCAAAGAGTGCAGAAAATAGAAATTGAGTTTTTGAGAGATCGAAGCATCCGATTTGAATGATCCAAAAAACATTCAATTCGTATTGACGGGGAGAAGTGGTTATTAGTTTTTGGCAAAGGCAGGCCTAACCATTTCGGAGATACAGAGCTAAATGTGCAAAAAATGGCAGTTTTTGAGAGTACTAAGCGTCTGATTTAAATGATTCAAAGAACTTTCTGCTTGTCTTAACAAAATAGTTGATTTTGGAAAAAAAAATTCTTTCAACTTTTTTTTTTTTTTAAATTTTTGTATATCGAAAATAATTCAGATTAAATTTTTAATTCTGACTATATTTCTAATATACTTTAAACAAATAATTTCAACTCTGCAATTCAGTTTATATAATTCTTATAAATATTAGACAATGTTACAATATTTATAATAATCTATTTGAAAACATTCAGTATTTCTCGAACATTTCGTTACGGTACGGGAAGTTCCAGCAATTTGCCTTAAGGCACGATGCCATACACCCCACTAGTTTTCATTTGCATTTGTGGTTAATTTGTTGAGACCACCACTTCAACTACTGCAAATTTTTAAATTATTAACCCTTAACTTACTTTTTTTGTAATCTTGCAATGTTGATAAATAAATTATAAAAAAAATGGTAGCAAAGTAAAGCCTGCCTTTTTTATGATGATTCAAAAATGAGCTCAAGTTCATGTCTCTACACTAGAATAGCCCCTTAATATTGTATAATAAATCTAGTTTAACAACAAATACTTAAATCAACTGATGTTGCGATGCAAAAATTTGAACTTTGTTATATTAATATTATTATAAACTGGCTGTACAATATAATGTACAAAACAGTGTTAATTTATTCTATGTCTCCTATTTATATTAATATACATCTATGAAAAGAAAGTGTCCATTTCAGTATTACAAACAGATCCAATTTTATTTATATATGTAGGCTTAACAATTACATACAATACACTTTTGTGAGTAACAGAGTTAAAAAAACATTGCAATTCCACAAGGAAAGGATTTTAAGGTTGGTTAGTTTCCAGCAAATTCAACATATTTGTTGAACGTTTTCTTATAGGTTGTATTCCAGCATGTACTTCTGTTACATGTTGTCCTAATGTATTTTTTGTTTCAAATGTTTTATTGCAAATTCCACAACTATAAGGAAGTTCTCCAGTGTGAACTCTTTCATGTTTCCTTCTTTTATGCTTCCTATACGATTCTTTATTTGTGAATGTTTTTCTACATATATTGCAGTCATAGCATTCTCCATTGTGAATATTTTCATGTCTTTTTAATGCATCTTTCCTTGCAAATGTTTTATTGCAAATTTCACAACTATAAGGATGTTCTCCAGTGTGAATTATGCTATGTTTTTCTAAATAATCCTTTTTTTTGAATGTTTTACTGCATATTTTGCACTTATAAGGACACTCTTTTTGGTGTTTAGTTAATGATAGTTTTTTCACAAACATTTTTTTGCATACTTCACATTCGTAAGGTTGTTCTGTAGTGTGAAGAACTTGATCAAATTTCAATGATTGTTGTCTGAGGAATGTTTTATTACATATTTCATAAATATAGGGCTTCAGATTATCCCTTGTTGAACATTTTTCAGAAACGTTTTCGAATGATTCGCTCGTAGTACTTGAATTACTGATGTTATCATCAAATATGTAAGGTTTTTCATTGAAACTTGTATTTAGCGCAGCATCTTGCCTATCAATCTTTTCTTGCTTCATTTCCTCATCAATAGTAACCTCAGATTTTAGAAATTGCTGTAGGCATATTTCATCAATCTCCATACTCATATTTGATGTATATTGATAATCATCAAATTCTTGTTTCACTTCAGGATATTCGATCGGTTCAATTATAATTATTGTATTTGAATTTGTTTCTTCAGACATTTTTGACTTTTGTAGGTTAAGGTAATTGCTATCTAACGATGTATGCCTAAAAGTCGATAAGATTTGTAATTTATGTGTTGTGAACGTGTAATAAATATATTTTGATATTCATCAGCATGTTATAATACTAACACTGACTTTTTCGTTATTATTTTATTATTTCACTTATTTTATTTACGCACTTTGACATTTTGACAGCTCTACTTCGTTTAGGTTAGACAACATTAAAAAGATTTCAACTGCGAGTTTATCAAGGCTACCAAGAATTTAGAAATTCTGACTTTTAATGATGCAATAATAATAAAAATATAAACGAAAGCGTTCTAAATTAATATTGAATTAATCTCTATCTTTTTTCATGTAACTATATCACATATGATTTTAAATTTTGCCGCCGTTAAATTAGAAGTTGAAGTTGTTTCTGGTGTTGACCAATCAGAACGAAGTAGAAATGTCAAATTGTCGAAGTGCACAAATGAAGCAAACAAAAATATAAATAATAACAAAAACATCAGTGTTAGTGTTATATCAAATTAATAATTATCAAAATATATCCATTGCACGTTCCAAACACATAAATTACAAGACTTCTCGACTTTTAGGCAGAAATTGTTAGATAGCAATTACCATAACCTACAAAAGTTGAAAATGTCTGAAGAAACAAATTTAAACACAACAATTAAAGTTGAACCGATTGAATATCCTCAAATTAAACAAGAATTTGATGATTATGAAAATATTTCAGACATGTGTATGCTGGGTGAGGAAATATGTCTACAGCAATTTCTAAAATCAGAGGTTACAGTTGAGGAGGATATAAAACAAGAAACGATTGATGAGCAAGATTTTAAACAAGGTCCTCAAGTGAAACAAGAGGTTGAAGATAATGAACATGCAACAAATATGAGTATGGAGAATGATGAAATATGCTTACAGCAATTCCTAAAATCTGAGGTTACTATTGACGAGGAAATTAAACAAGAGAAGATCGATGGGCGTGATGCTGCAACAAGTTCCAATGAAAAACCTTACACATTTAATGAAGACATCAGTAATTTAAATAATATGAGCAAATTATCTGAAATCCTTTCTGGAAAGTGTACAGCAAGCGATAATCTAAAGCTCTATGATTGTAAAATATGTAATAAAACATTCCAAAAGAAGGCACTTTTAAACGAACATAAAAAGATTCATACTGGAGAACGTCCTTATAACTGTGAGATATGCAATAAAACATTCACATTTAAACAATCATTAATTCTACATAAAGTTATTCACACTGGAGAACGACCTTATGAATGTGAGATATGCAAAAAAACATTTTCAGCCAAGAACAATTTATTCAAACATAAAAAGCTTCATACTAAAGAAAGTGTTTGCAAAATATGCAATGAAACATTTGCAACAAAACAATGTTTGAAACAACATAAAGTTACTCACACTGATGAATGCCCTCATCAGTGTAATACATGCAAAAAGAGATTCAAATCAAAATATTCATTAACAGAGCATGAAATAACTCACACTGGAGAACGTCCTTACAATTGTGAAATATGCAATAAAACATTCAGATTAAAAGCGACATTAAGACGGCATGCAGTTTTACACACAGGCGAACGTCGTTACGAGTGTGAAACATGCAAAAAGAGATTTTCACTCCTAGTGACCTTAAAAAGGCATTTATATGTGCATTCTGAAGAACGTTCTTATAATTGTGAAATATGCAATAAAACATTTAAAACAAAGCGAGATGTAAAATATCATGAAATTATTCACACTGGAGAACGGCCTTATAGTTGTGAAATATGCAATAAAACATTTGCATTGAAAAAGACATTAACACAACATGGAGCAGTTCATGCTGGAGAACGTCCTTACAGTTGTGAAATATGCAATAAAACATTCAGATTAAAAGCGTCATTAAGACAACATGCTGTTTCACACACTGGTGAACATCGTTATGAGTGTGAAATATGCAATGAAGTATTTAAAAGCAAACCTGGATTTAGAGATCATGGAACAATTCATACTGGAGAACGTCCTTACAGTTGTGAAATATGCAATAAAACATTCAGATTAAAGGTGACATTAAGACGACATGCAGTTTTACACACAGGCGAACGTCGTTATGAGTGTGAAATATGCAAAAAGAGATTTTCCCTCTTAGTGACCTTAAAAAGGCATTTATATGTGCATTCTGAAGAACGTTCTTATACTTGTGAAATATGCAATAAAACATTTAAAACAAAGCGAGATGTAAAATATCATGAAATTATTCACACTGGAGAACGGCCTTATAGTTGTGAAATATGCAATAAAACATTTGCAAGGAAAGCGACATTAATGAAACATGGAGCAGTTCATGCTGGAAAACGTGCTTACAGTTGTGAAATTTGCAATAAAGCATTTGCATTGAAAAATGTATTAAGTCGACATGTAAGAGAAGTACACGATGGAGTAAGAAAAGGTTCAACAAAAATTTTGGAAGTGCCGGAAACTGTTCAACCTTAAAATCTTTGTGGTGATACGATTTTTTTAAAATTTTTTTTTTATTTATTTATTTATTTGATATAATTCGTACATACTGTATCTCAGTCAGACAATTGTTCTGGTATGAGAGATCACAGCAATTATAATAAAATCTAAATTTTATGTAACAGGCTTACATTAAGACATCTATATATTTTTACTTATTACTATTATAGACACATATATACACACAATGCTTGCGTACATACATACGTACTTATACTTAATTAACAGAAGTAATATAGTATTCTAATTAGGAAGTTTATCTCATTTATTGCATTTATCTCTTATATAATTTTTAAATTTAATTTTGAAACTGTTTAGGTCCGTCATTGTCTTTAGTTTGTCCGGTAGTTTGCAGTTCATGTATTTTTTTAACTCTGTTACCTATAAAAGTGTGTTGTAATTGTAATTGTTTAATAATGTTAATTTAAATGCTTAAATAATTATAAATATAGCATTTTATTTTTTTCAATAGAAAAATATAAATAGACTGTATATATACTCAGATAGTTGAAGTAAATAATTTCGACTATGACAATTCAGTTTTAAAATGTTTATACATTTCATATGTGCTATTTTACATTAGTCTTAGAAATATGAGATAAGGTCTTTGAATGAATTCATTTTAACGCGACTCGTTTAGGTTTCGTTTATATATGTTGCGTTTCTTGTAAACATAAACAAAGATCGTCGCCTAAATATAAGCACTTATATACAATCTATAAAATACGAGTGATGAAATTTACAGTATTAATAATAATAGAAAATATTCAAAACTGTATGGTAAGTTCCAGAAATTTACCTTCAAGCTCAAAGACCAATAAAATTGCTAACTTACTATTTTTTACTTACAGAATCTATCGGATCTCCCAAATCACCAACACCGAGTACAAATCCATTCACATCCAGCACGACAACATTGTTTTCCTTACTTGGAGCCTCAGGTGGAACCTCTCAATTCTCAGATTACCTGACACATCCTAGCAACATGCGTGTGTATCCTGGACACCTGCACCAGGCTTCAAGCAAAACCCATCTAAACTCTTCGTCTGGTGTTGTGAAGGCAGAAATCCATCGGAATTCTTCCGAAGCTGGCAGCAGCTGCGAGGAAAAGGTAATAAGAAACATTTATTTATTTTACTTTTTTTTTTATTTATTTTTACTGTAATAAATATTATTAACTTGCCATAGGGCAAGTTATAGTATGGCAAAAAAATCGAAAATGAAAATTTTTATATATCTTTACGTTTCAAAGGTTTCTGAACATTTTGGCATACCTTAGAAAAAATGGATGTGTGTGTGTGTGTGCGTGTATGTTTGCGGACACATATTTTCGTCGACGATTTCGAGAACACAGATCAACCGGTTTGAATAATTAAAAAAACATTCGATTCGTATTGATAAGGAGACGTGCTGATTAGTTTTTGGCGAAGGCAGGTCTAGTCGTTCCGAAGATACGATGCGAAAAGTGCCAAAAATGATAACTCAGTTTTTAAGAGAACGGAGCGTCCGATTTTAATAATTCAAAAAACATTTTACTTGTGTTGACGAAATGAACAACTGATTAAATTTTTCCAGCGGTTTTGGACTATCAATTAAAATAAGTTAAAAAAGTGTCATTTGGCGGTCAAAAATGTTTATTAAACATATGTACATCAAATTATCAGATACTTTATAGAGATTTTAATATTGTGTATACATTTTGTGTAATTTTTTCTGGGTTCCGTACCAAGATTTTTAATTTTGAAGTTTATTTATACGGTTCAAACAAATGTCCTCGACATTTTCCACAGTATGGAATAACCGATTTATAAGATTGAAAAATCATTCGGTTCGTACTCGATCGCGAGGCGTTTTTTCAAAAGACAATTTTGCTGTTTTGGAGGTATGGAGCGCAAAGGGTGTAAAAACGGTTATGCAGTTTTTGAGAGAACGGATCATCCGATTAGAATAATTCAAAAAACATTTTGCTTGAATAGGCGGTGTGCAAAAAAGGCATTTACGGAAAATTTAATAATTTTGAAAATTTTCAAGGAAAAAAAAATTCAAAATTTTCAAAAAAATTCAAAGTTTCATAAAAATGAAATTTTCGAAATTTTTCATTTTCAAAAAAAAAACTAAATTTTGAAAAAATTTAAAAAATAATCTTACAAAAATTTTAAGACTTAAAAAAATCGAATATTTTCAAAAATTTCCAAGTTCTCAAAATATTTAGAAAAAGCATGGTTTTTAATTATCAATCATTTCAAAATTTTGAGTTTTGATTTCTAAATTATCAAAAAACTCAAATAAAAAATGGACTTTTGTGAACGTTAAGGTGACCATACGTCCCGGATTGGCCGGGACAGCCCGAATTTCACCGGATTTTGATTTTTTGTCCCGGATGTCCCGGTGTTTCGAAAATTAACAAAAATTAGGAAAACAAACTAACAGATGCTATTTTTTTCAAATTAATTGAACAGAACATATAGATTGAAAAATATATAATTATAATAATATAATAAAAATATATAATAAGATATAATATCATAGATAAAGAAGTATTGCATATAATAATCGAAGTATAAGGTATTTTGTAATCACAAATATAATTTATTATTTTCTTCACACCACACACACACACACACATATATATATATATATATATATATATATATATACGAGGTCTGTTCAAAAAGTACCCGGAATTTTCGTTTTTTCAAAAAAATATTTATTTATTCGTCTACATTAATGTGGTCCCCTTCAAAGTAGTCCCCCCCAGATATAATACACTTATGCCAGCGTTTTTTCCAATTTTCGAAGCACCCTTGATATTCACTTTTTGATATGTCCTTGAGCACTCTCGGCGATTTTCTTCAATCGAGGAAAACCGCCGTCCTTTCATGGGTCTCTTCAACTTTGGGAATAGGAAAAAGTCACACGGAGCCATATCTGGTGAATTTTTGCACTTTGCAACACTTTATTTCATTTTTTACGCAAAATTTAATACAAATTCTTTGACTTTTCAATTCTTCCATTGTAAAAATCGCCGAGCTCAGAAAAACACGTCGAACCTTAGCGACTACCACAGACAAAGTAAACAGTGAATATAGCTGAAAATTTCATCATACTTTAGGGGCATGTATACCAACACAATAAAAAAAAATTTTGACAATCAGACACTCCAGACCCGCGAAATTTAATTATTAGTAATTCCGGGTACTTTTTGAACACACCTCGTATATATATATATATATATATATATATATATATATATATATATATATATATAACCTCCCATAATCTTAGGAGTGATCTAACAAACTCACAATTACATTTCAAAAGCTTACTAAAACTTCTTTTTAAGGGTCCGCAATTATGATAAAAAAAAATTCATTTAAAAAAACCTTTTTTTTATTGTATCCTTGAATAGCATTTGTTATATAAACGACTAACACACCCCCCGGATTACCATAACTAAAAATTGCCGTCCCGGATTTGACTTAAAAAAATATGGTATATACCTTAGTGAACGTAGACATAAATTGTTCATAAAATACGCTTGTCGCCCATTTTAAAAGTTTATTATTAGGCGTTTCAACCAGGCTTGCATCGAACTTACATTCGGCCAAATAACAAATAAATACAGTAAATAAAAGGAGTCTGCCGCTCAGCGAAAGTATTGTGTTTTATCTTTTATGCGATAAAGAACTGCGATGGATCTGGTTATGAAAATCTTTAGTTACTATGATACAATATGAAAAATGAATGAATGATTTTATTATTGTATATATATATATTAATTTAAACTTTATCGACTTTTGAGATTATAAACAAATACGTAAAGAATGCTTTTCTCAATATTCAAAGATATGTTAAATTATTGTTATAGTTTTATGTTAATTAATTTAAAGTTAAAAAGCCCTTATTAGTTTACAGTATATATTATATAATTATATATATATATATATATATATATATATATATATATATACAATTATTGATTGTTTTCATTCCTCGATTATTTAATTACGGTACGGGAAGTTTCAGCAATTTGCCTTAAGGCACGATGCCATACACCACTAGTTCATTCATTTATGGTATAAATAACAAATTTTTGATGTACTATCTTTTACCTTAGTCTCCAGATGAGGAGTTAGCCGAATTGATCAAGGATTTTAGACGAGGAGCTCGTGGTTTGGCCGAAGTGGAGCGTTTAGCAGAGCAGTGGCGTGCAAGACACGCCACAGCAGGGGCACAAACGCAAAGGGAACGCGATCGTATGCTGAAATCAATGCGGGAGCAGTACGATAAATTACAAAAACAAGGAGGGGCCAACGGCGTGGATGGTAAAATGGGTGCACTGGAACGAGTCAGGAAACTTTTTGCCAGATCTAGGCATGCAAAAGGTAATGGCAACTAAAAAATATTTATAATATTTAAAAACAATAATGTAATTAAAGTCGTACTTCAAATATGACACGATCGGTTTGTCATTGTAATTAGCATTTAGAAGAAATTTGTTAGAAAAAGTAATTGCTGATTAATAAATTCTATAATCGTGGATTATGTTAAACAACGCCTAAACAAATATTGTTTACTCAACATGTATTAATTGTGTTTAAAGAACTTCATGTAATTAAAATTAACATGCATTCATTGACTGCTTGTATTTTGTTTTACTTTTTCGCTGGCGATATAATCTCATTCTTTGAACAACTGCAATATCTGTCTTGCCTAAAAAATATTTTCCATTTTATTAACTTCAAAGATTTATAGAAACTACAAGTCCATTTCTAATTTTATTTTTAGTTTTGCTCGTTAGTAGAGTCCCTTTTTAATATTATTTTTAGATTGCTCGTCAGTAGAGTCCATTTTACTTTAATTTTTAATTTGTCATCAGTAGAGTATCTTTGAATTTTATTTTTAGTATGCTTGTCAGTACAGTCCCTTTTTAATATTATTTTTAGTATGCTCGTCAGTAGAGTCCCTTTTTATTGTTATTTTTAGATTGCTCGTCAGTAGAGTCCCTTTTTCTTTCATTTTTAATTTATCATCAGTAGAGTCTCTTTGAATTTTATTTTTATTTTGCTTATCAGTAGAGTTTATTTTTCATTAATTTTTATTTTAATAATCAGTTTGAATGTTATTTTTAGATTGCTTGTCAAATATTTAAAAACAATAATGTAATTCAAGTCATACTTCAAATATGACATGATCGGTTTGTCATTGTAATTAGCATTTAGAAGAAATTCGTAAGAAAAAGTAATTGCTGATTAATAAATTCTTTATTATTCGTTCACACAGTGGATTATGTTAAACAACACCTAAACAAATATTGTTTGAAGAACTTCATGTAATTAAAATTAACATACATTCATTGACTGCTTTTGTATTTTTTTACTTTTTCTAGACGATATTCAATTTGCACGTCAGTAGAGTCCTTTTTTTAAATCTTATATATGAAAATTAAGTTTAATTTACTCCTCAGTAGAGTCCTTTTTTTATAACCTTGCTCGTCAGTAGAATCCGCTTTTCAAGTCATTAAATATTAATAATTTTGCTCGACAGTAGAGTCTCTTTTTCTAATTAATAATTTTGCTCGTTAGTAGAGTCCCTTTTTCTAATTAATAATTTTGCTCTAAAGTAGAGTCCCTTTTTCTAATTAATAATTTTGCTCGACAGTAGAGTCGCTTTTTTTAATTAATAATTTTGCTCGACAGTAGAGTCCCTTTTTTTAATTAATAATTTTGCTCGACAGTAGAGTCCCTTTTTCTAATTAATAATTTTGCTCGTTAGTAGAGTCCCTTTTTTGTCTTTTAGATCAATTTTGTACATTTCTATCAAGTTATTTGATCACTTGTCAGCAGAGTCCCTTTTCTATTATTTGTTTATTTATTATTCATTTGTCAGTAGAGTCCAGTTTTGTCTTTTTTGTAAATTTTTAGTTTGCTCGATGGTAGAGTCTTTTTTTATATTTACGAATTTCAAATTTGGTCGCCAGTAAAGTCCAATTTCAAATATTTTATATTAAAATTGAGTTTGCTCGTCAGTAGAGTTCTTTTTTAGAGACATTTTTTATTCATATTTTGCTCGTCAATAGAGTCCCTTTCACAAAACATTTTTCATTAATATTTTTGCTTATCAGTACAGTTGCTTTTAGTATCTAAGTTAATTTTGCTTACCAGTAGAGTCCTTTTTCTTCTTCTTAGTTGAAATTAAACTTCGTTTTTTTAGTTTGCCTGTCAGTAGAGTCTTTTTTATATTTGCTAGTTTCAAATTTGATTGTCAGTAGAGTCCTTTTTGTATTTTCTTATCGATCAAAACTTTGTTGGCTTGTCAGTATAATCCCTTTATAACTTTAAGATGAAATTTATGATCATATTTTAAATGTTCGATTTTTTATTTGCTCGTCAGTAAAGTCCTTTTTGATCGTTTAGATCAAAACTAAAGTTTCCTCGTCAGTAGAGTCCTTTTTTATATGTTTCCTTTCTATATCTTTTATATCTATACAAGTTAGTGGAGATCTTTTTCAGTTTTTATATTTACTAATTTTGAATTTAGTCATCAGTATAGTTCCTTTTTATCAACTAGATTGTAATTAAAGTTTGCTTGTCAGTAGAATCCATTTTTATGTTCTGGATTAAAATTATGTTTGCTCGTCAGTAGAGTCCTTTTATTTTTTCATTTAACAGTTTTAGAATCTGTCTTGTCTATAAAAACATTATCTATTTTAATATAGAAATAATTTCTAATAAATAAACTTACGTTTAGTACACGGCACGTATGTTTAATTTGTTTTATTATTTTCAAGGAACAGGGTAAAATATTCTTTTGATTCGGGCATTTTTCATTAAATCAAGATTTGTACTACGATGTAACTTTAAAATGTTTATTTATCTCAATTTGGCCAAATTTGGATGTACTTATGTCCAATTTTTTTTGCAGAAAACGAATCTAAAGGTGATCAGGGTAAACCAAGTGATGTGCAAGGTGAAACTCATAAAATTGGCGGAGTTATTAGACCGATGAGCAGTTTGAGCATACATAGTGTTTCTAGTAAGTTAAATTTTAACTTAATATAGAATAGTACTATTTAGAAATATTAATATTTGCGATAATTATCGCACTATCTATTTCATGCATGCATCATACTCCAGTCAATGGAGTGTTTTGGGTCTGAATTTCTTTACTGTGCTCCGATTTACATAAAATTTTGGAATTAAGTTCATCTTACCCTCATGTTCAATGTTCAAAACAATTTGGTGGAATGACACCCCTTCTCAATTGTGTAATTACATTTTTTCAAAATAACGTCGGAAATCGATAGAACTAATTATGAGAAAAAATGCCTAAAAAGTTTAAGAAAACTAATACTTTTCAAGTTACTGGCAACTGAATTTTTATGTATTTTTGGCGTTTTTCTTCGTTTTTTTGCAAATATTTCCTAAAATATACATTTTAACGAAAATCATGTTATGAACAAAATAATGTCAATAAAAATATTAATAAATCGGTATTACATAAAGTGTTCTAGGAATAATATTAAGCAAGATTTGAAAGAGCAAAGTCGTTTTTTATTTCGTTCAAGATTTAATTGTTGTATTTAAAGCCATCTAGTGTCGATGTTTTACATTTTATGCATTTCGGTGAAATTGGGTTTTATAGTGCTCAACATAAGCTTTAAAATGAGTGCTGTTACAAGTCTTTTGCGTGTAAAATGAGTGAGGTATGTATAATATGTGTTTTGCGTGTAAAATGATGCAAATAAGAAGCATATACGATGGTTTTTTCTTTCAAATCATGTGGTTTAATGAGCGCCATTTCCACCAGAATTAAAGTAATTCACATTCCATCTAGCATTCACTTCATTATACACATCTTGATGGATTCTAGCAGATTCACTACTTTAGTACAAACTATTTTCAGAAAACTCACGAATTTATAAAAACTTTTTTTTCCGATTTTTTTAAAGCTCGATAAAATGTTAGGTATACTAAGGCTCTGAAACGGCTGAACCGATTTGGCCACTCTTAGTCTTGAAAAAATCTTGCTCATCCAGAGATTGTGGTGAATGTGAAAAATTATTTCAAAACTCCATAGAAACTTTACATTTTTAATTTAAAATGTTTTGTAGAAACGTAATTTAAAATGAAACAATAGACGACGACTCATACGTCAAAGGTCAAATGGTTCTAACTGATTATGTTCAATCAAATTATAAAATAATAAAATAATAAATTATAAAAGAATAAAAGATTTGTATAAAATATATAGATAACGATCAAAGGGATCTCTCTGGCTTATTATTGTTTTTTTATTATTTTTCTTTTACACAAAAATTGACAGAGTTATGATTGCTTCAAGAGTGCGCGGCCGCGCAATCAGAGTCTTTCTCGAGCCCTTTAACCGTTCGCCGTTTCAAAATGAGAGGAGTTATGAAAAAAATTGTGAAAAAAAAAGTTGTAGCCGTTTTATTTACCTTTCAAATGGTATATTACAATTTTATATTTATCAGGTTCATCTTCGTCTGGACGTCTAAGTACTGGAAGTGTTTGTAGTGGAGCTTCTTTGGGCGACAGTGGCACACATTCTGATAATGAAGACAGAAAAGTAAGTCATTATTGAAATTAGATACATTAAGCATGAATTTCTTTAATTTTTTTTTCTAAAGTCCATATAGGGTGAAACTAGATAAAATTTACAACATTTCCTAGTGAACACTTTTATACACTCCGATATAAAAGTTTTGAATAAAACGACTTTGAATTCGATATTTCATTCTTAAGCAATAAATATTGGAAGTTCGGGATATTTTTCTGGTTTTTGTCACATAACTCAAAAATTTCATATGGAACCACCCCTTTTCAGTTAGATAGGGTGAAACTAGATAAAATTCACAACGTTTCCTAAGGAACACTTTTATACACTCCGATATAAAAGTTTTGAATAAAACGCGTTTGAATTCGATATTTCATTCTTAAGCAACAAATATAGAAAATTTGAGGCATTTTTTTGGTTTTTGTCAAATAACTCAAAAATTTCATATGGAAACACCCCTTTTAAGTTAGACAGGATGAAACTACGTTAGTTTTGTTCTAGGAATTTTAATTTATTTACCTTACCAAAACTAGATAAAATTTACTAAAATATAGTATAACTAGTTATACATATATGCATAATAAAATTTTAAATAAAATTAGGTAGAACGCAGGGTTGTATATTCTACTAATTGGTAATATATGAATTTTGGACACTTTTCCGGATTTTTTCAATTTACTAAAAAAATTTGTTCCAGGCACTTTAATATATATACATCAGTAAAAACTAAAAAAAAGTTTACTAACATATAGTACAATTAGTTATATTAGGTTGTCAAATATCTCCCTTCCGCTTTTTTGCTTTTGGTTTATAATACAAAAAGGCGGAAGGGAGATATTTGACAACCTTATATATACTTGCATATCAAAATTTTGAATTAAAGAGACGAAACGCAGGATTGTATATTCTGCTTATTGCAAATATATGGATTAGAGACATTTTTCTGGATTTTTTTAAATTACTAGAAAATTTGGTTCTAGGTATTTTGATTTATTTACATTAGTGAAAATTAGATAACATTTCCTTAAATTTAAGAAAAGGTAAAATTTACAACATTTCCTAGGGAACAATTTTATACACTCCAATATAAAAGGTTCGAATAAAACAACTTTGAATTCAATATTTCATTCAAGCAATAAATATAGGAAATTCGGGACATTTTTTTAGTTTTTATCAAATAACTCAAAACTTTCATATGGAACCAATTAATCAATTTTCTTCACTTTTTTTACCAGATATCCCTGAAACATCTATCAATCGACCAAACTAAGAAACAGAGCAATTTTGACAATTACCTGATACCTCCTGCTCCTAGACCGCTGCTGCAGTTACCTGTACGAAGTAACATAGAGGTAAAAAATAATTCTATTTCATATAAAATAAAAACCAAATTAGAATTATGTTATATATATATGTGGCGGAATGAAAATGTTCTTGACATATGTCAGTTGATTGACGCCAATGTGATGACTAAACTACACAGCACACTTGGCGCTACGCCGATGCGAATGTCGCATCTAGCAAGCTGTAGCTAGTTTTTTTTTCACCACATAAAATGGGTTCTCTCGGTTTTTAGTGAGCGATCAATTATCGGGCTAACAAATTGATATCAAAATTTATATCATATCAGTTTCGTTGTAAATTGAGTTATCAATAAACTCACATTAAGATCTAGTCTACAACAGTTAATTACGGTTTCATTTCTAAATATAATTTAAATATATATATATATATTAGAGATGGGCTTATCATATCCGAAGCCGGATCGACTCGGATTTGACTCCACTTCAGGGAGGAGTTATATCCGCTTAACAACTCCACGACTCCGACTACTTTGAAACCGAAATACTCGACACAAATGTGTTCTATATGCGTTGTTTATGCTCAAAGAATTGTGAAATCCCATTTAATTTTTTGAAATGAAAATTTATGAATAAAATAAAATTAAAAAATATCAATGAAATAATTTTTCTAAAAAAATCACAAGTAAATGACGAGTTGTAAAACTTTTCGGTACACCACATGTTCGACTCAATGACTCGTAATTTTAACAGTGTTGACCAAAGTAGAAACGCAAAACTTAAGAATCAAATTCAATTTAATTATTTTCTTTTGATGAGAAAATAATAGATTTTTTGGATTAATTTTATATTAAAATAATGTAGTAAACTTTGTAATGAAAGCAAAACATTTATCATAAAATATTTTCACGAAATAATAATACTTCTGATTTCTAATTTTTTTCTGCTATTTCCATTCGAGAATTAATATTATATCGGGTATTTCAATTAGCATATTATTACTTTAAAACACAATATATAATTGTGTAAAAGTAAAATTTTATACTATATATTTTTTACTGCTTAAATACTATTGACGTCACTGATATTTTGCACTCTAAAGTGTTGTTATTTCAGGCTATAGAAAACCAGATTAAATGTATTTTGTTTCGTGTATTTTTCGGTAAGATCGTCGTAGGTAGAAATATGACCCTTACTATTCAATAAATTATACATTTGAGCTATTCACACTTGAACACAATTTCATTGTTTTGTATCTTTGAAGTAACACTTTTGTATTTTCTGGAAAATACACAATGGTATTATTTTTGAGTTTGATACCTAAAAGGTCATAAAACTAGAGACGAGAAAGCGGCCGCATCCTTCCCATGGCAAAAACGCCAAAAAACAGTAAATGCCTGCACGAGTTAAGAGATTTAATACCATTTTAGGAATGTCGGATATGACAAATCCTGTGAAACGACTCCACTCGGATTCACTCCGAGGGAGGAGTTGTATCGGAGTGATAACTCCGGAGTGAGTTACCCATCTCTAATATATATATATATATATATATATATATATATATATACATTTGTTTTATTATTTTTTTTAGCGTTTTACCAGTCCGACAGGCCAGGAACATTACATCAGGTTTCCGCCTTCGAATCAACCTGTGGTAACTTCTTCTTTTAATTCGAGAAGCAATCAGACGCCTCCTTTGACACCTGTTACGCCACAGACACCTCCCCTTTTTTCCACAATGGACTATGGTAAGGGAAATATATATATATATATATATATATATAAACACACACATACAATCTCACAGTTTTCGTTCAAGTGTTTACACGCGTTACACATGACTCATCAGATTCAGTTAGTTTGTTTCCAAAAGCCGATCGCATAACATCGAGAGAACAATATTATTTGTGTTTTCAAATGATAATTTTAAAAAAGACAAAACTTTTAATAATTTTGATTTACAAAATTTAACTATTCGGCGGAAAAATAACTCACAAATTCATTTTTTGTTTAAAAATCTTGTTTAGTGAAAAAGTGCTAACGTATATTCAAACATACAGGTAATTAATTCAATTTTGTCATTAATCTTTTCTTAAAATTTTCCATAACTTTCAAAAAATTTCTATCTTTTTTAATATCCTGTTCTGTGATAAT